ATAGTTGCATGTCAGAGTTGCACATTCTTCTAGTTGCTGTATGTGGGATGCGGCCTCAGCATGGCCGGAGAAGCGGTGCGTCGGTGCGCGCCCGGGATCCGAACCCGGGCCGCCAGCAGCGGAGCTCACGCACTTAACCGCTAAGCCACGGTGCCTGCCCAACTACTGGGAATATTAAGGTGATAGTGTCACGGACCCATGAGAACACCTGGCACAAAGTAGGCCCTCCACTGAGACTGGCTCCCATCTTCCCTTCTGGGTCCTGCTTTTGCATTTCTTTTCTAAATCACTTATGACTTTCAACGTACTGAAATTGAATGTTTTTTTGACTCGGTAAAAAATCATTTTAGGCAATTTTTACTCTTAACCCTGGCTGTCAAAGAATTTAGTAAGTCAGAGGAGGAAGAAACCTCACAGGTTAGCTAGTGACTACCACGTGCCTGCAGCTCCCTTTCCCTCCCAACAGCTGACATTTGAGTCTGGGCCACTGCAGAACAACCAAGGGATCATTCTGAATGCGCATCAAGGCCGGCCGTCTTACAAATGTCATGCCCTTAGTTACCCAGTTGACTCAATGAGGCACAGGACAAAATCCCTCCCTTCTGCGGGCAAAGCCACTTACAGACATGCCTTACCGGTGGCAGATCAGTATAAAGACAACACCTGGGAGGTTATCTATTCTACCTTTCCCATTTTACAGATAGATAAACTGAGGCCTAGAGAAAAGATGAGACTTGCCAAAGATCACATGAAATAGCAGAATCCAGATCAGAACATAGGTCTCCCGATTTCTAATCCAGCATACTTCTAGCATATGAGACTGCTGCTGATCAGGAGCAACAACAGCAACACAATACTAAAAATAATGCTAATGTTAACACTACCGTTAATACTGATACTACAGTTCGTTGATCTCTCACTATGTTCCAGGCACCACGCACATTACATACAATCTTTCTGATAGCCACCTAGTAAAGCACTTATTATGCCCAATGTTTTAATTTTCAGAAGATTGATTCCTTATTTCTGATACTTACCTCCCTCAAAGAAGGATGAAACAACAAAACCCAGTGCATATACAGTCTGTAACCATCTCTAATGATCTATTCCACTATGAGGATGGAAAAGGAAAATCAAACCCACCAAGTGGCTAACTTGCAACTTAGTCATTGGAGCCAACCTTCTCTTCTCCATGACTTTTCATGAACTCTGTCATGAAAAAGAACAGCGTCCTAAATGAAGCATTCTCTCCTTTGTCCTTCTGCATCTACCACTTGGTGAAAAACCTAACAAGCCACAACATGGACAAATGCTGGCCTGCCAGGTGCCGATCATCAAATCAGCCCCTTCATAATGGCATGTTTGATGGCTTCAAGGGAAAGGAAAGTAACACCACGTCAACCTCTCTACTTTTTCTTCTTTCTACCCATTAGTCCCCAAACCGTTATATGAGCCAAACTGGACACACACCTGTTCTCCCTTCTGAGGCAGCTGCTGAAGCTCTCTTGAATTCTCTCTCATCTCACTGGTAAGCATTTGCAATTCTAATTTTACCCATGTGCAGGAACTTTCTTCTCTTGCTCAAATTCAGGAGACTTCTGAAGTTTTGGTCCTTTTATTTTTTTTAATTTCAGTCAGAGTGTTTTCTCCTTTCCCTCTTTATGACTTCTTTATTATATTCCTTAACAAAGATCTCCTTACAGTTTTCTCTCTTCTTTTCTGGAATACTCTCTCTGTAAATTTTATTTGTCTTTATTTCCATTTCAAATATATCACACTGGACATAATAATAGATGGGATCCTGAAATGTTGTGTGTAAACAAATTACAGCTAAAATGCATTAGGAAATCTTATCCAGCCCCAACCCCTGAATCATTTGTACTGTGAACTGTCTTATAAATTGAACAAGCATTCCCACAATAGAATAATAAAAAATAAAGAAAGAAAGAAGAAACAAGACATAGACGGAGTCTTGAAGAAACAAGGTACTTTCAAATCAATGTTTGCAGATAATAATCGATGTTATTTGCTATGGTTCCTCTTCTTCCTTTGATTAGCTCCACAAGCCTACAATTTTCACGGCACTTGCTTGATTAAGTTTTAAACAATCCAACCTTCTCTATTTTCACTGCATCCTTCTAGAACTATAAATAAAATGAGGCATCTTCTATTGGGAAGGATGCTGTACTAGAGAGAGCATGGTGTTTGGGGCCAGAGGACCTGGGTACCATCCTGTTCTCCCACTTCTACCTGTGTGACCATCACAAGTAACTTCATATTTCAAAGCCTCTTTTCCTTGTTTGAAAAATGGCAGTCAACATTTATTGAGAAAATTAAATTTCTTTCACTAACTTTTCTTCCTTAGTTTATTGGAAAGGTCTATCCTTGGACGTCCTCAATCTTGAGGTCTCTATTTGTGCACAAGGGCATGGGGGTGGGGGGTTTTCCCTGGGATCTGGGGTATTGTGAAATCCTGGCAAGTTTTCCTTCCCCTTGTATCATCAACCCCTGAGTCTTCTCATAAAGTGCTATCTAAAAATATTAAAGCACATTACAATTACTTTGTTTTTTGAGTTTTCTAGAAATTTCACAGTTATCTGAATATAATTGGAGGCACCCTGGGAAAGAGTGTGACCACCATCCCAAGATGTTTCTCAAGGTTTCTTATATAAACAAAGAATTCAACTAAAGTCTCTACACAAACAACCCCATGTCTCAACATCTTTGCCTGATGTTTCACTTAATGTTTTCCTCTTTCTCTGCATATCATTGCAAAGAGACGTAAATTAAGATTATAATCCTAACAACCTTTTATAGGCATTTACTTAGCAATTTATCACAATGCAGAGCATATCATTGAGTTGTTAATATTTGGTCTTCTACTATATAACATAACTATTGGTATCTTTATTCTACGGGTGGGGAAATCTGCAAGTTGACTAAGATAACACAGAAAAACTAGAAGTAAATTCAGAATTAGATAAATTAGGACTACCTTCCACGTTTGAGTTTCCTTATCTATAAAGCACCCACTTCACAGGATTATGGGGGGTTTAAATGAGAAGCTCTTAGCACAGTGGCTGGCATACAGCAAGAGCTCAATAAATACTGTCATTTGCTATTATTATTCTTATAAGAAAAAGGATAATATCACTTACTTTTCAAGGACATTATCAGAATTATGTTAGCCTGGCTTTTTGACTTCTCTCTTTGCCCATTCTTCTGGCTCACCACTGAAAGATTAATTTGATTAAAACTAGATCCCATACCTCCTTTATAATAGGTGACTTTATGCCACCTGTCATTTATGACATACTCAGTGTTCTCATAATTACTGTTTTCCCAGTTTTAACTTCCTGAGGACAGGAACTGGGTCTTAGATTTCTTTATATGCACTACACTGACCAGCACGATGTGCTGAACATAATGGATGTTCAATATATATTTGTGCTTTCAAAAACCATTGTTACCATTAACAACAAGCACCCAAAGGAAATTGGACGAGGCTTCTTTGGGATCTGGCTTTCTTTTCAGGTTAGCCTGCACAAACTTACATGTAAGAGTTGAGAGCAGTGCTGTGAGTATAATTACAAAGATGACAAATAACTGGCCAGAGAACAAAGCAAGTGCAGTAATACAAAAATAAGTCCACCATCGAGAAATGATGCACAACATATACTGTACTCAGAGGATTCTCCTCCCATAAAAATCTTACACGTGCTTTAGAATGTCTTGCACACTAGAACTCATTCTAATATAGAGAAGATTCAGGGCTTGCCAAAATTTTGAAATTTACCATCCTATGTAACCATTATGACATTCAAGAAACATGACACACGACAAAAGAATGTTGCAAACTCTTCTAGAGCCTTTCTGCCTAACAAAGTGATAGTAATGAATTGAGGATTTCACACTAAAATGGGGGAGGAGAGTGTCAGCTCTTAGCCACCAAGGTCCTTTCAGTTATACGTGGGACAGAGAAATAGGGCGCTGTACCACTCCTTGCTAATGGGAGATGAGAATCTAATGTTTGCTTGCCCAAGTGAAGGTGGATATAATGTTACCAGCCAGAGGTGCAAAGGCAAGGAGAACAGAGTTTGGAGTCAGAAACCTGTAACTCACTCTCTCTCTGAAAGTGAGACAGTTTCCACATCTGTAAAACGGGAATACGAACAACCACTTCCCCGGGGATTTTAAAGAATTGAATAGGATAACAACGTATACCCAAGAGAAAAGTAGGTGCTCAACAAAGCTTTTTATCCAGACAGGATATACACTAGGGGATTGTAACAATCATCCAGAGTTAAAAACAAGGATACAGACGAATTTTGCCCTGTTCTTTAGACACATCAGGAAAAAGACTTTTTGTATGCTTTTGGGTTACTATTTGTAAGACCTAGATCTAATCATACAGATACTTAATCTCTTAACAATGCTTATTTTTAGTGCCCCTCACCCAGGTGAGACGGGCCTCCCTAAAGAGACATTTCACAGACGAGAAAACTGAGGCTGAGTCGGCTCACCACTCCAGAGCATTCTGCCAGTAACTGGCCAGGCAGGGACCCCGGGTCTGTCTACAGAGGGCACAGGAAAGTGCTGCTGAGGAAGGGACAGTTCACCCTGCTGCAAGACGAAGCAAGACTCCTCAATATCTTACTCGCCCAAGGTCCTGCCGGCGGGCCTGGGCTCAGGCTGGACCCTGAGGGGGGGCCCTCTGTCCTTCCAGACGCCATCTCTCCTCCCTTCTCGCGCCCCCACCATGCTGCGTCCCGCCCCGGGGGCGCCCCTCGCCTCCATCGGGCCAAACCCCAACCCAGCACGTCGAGTGAACTTCGGCGCCCCAAGCGTGCGGCCCTCCGTGAGGAGTGGCCGCCCCCCAAGTCCCCCCGGGAGCAGCGAGGCACGGGAGCCGGACACGTAGACCCCTGGCTCGGTCCGTGTCCCGGGGTCCCCGGCGCCCCCCCCTCCGCCCCTCGTCCCCCGCGTCCCCGGGCACTCACCGCGCTCCGGGCGTCGGGGCCAGCGTGCGCCCTCAGCCCGGGACCCGGGGTCCCCGCCGCCCCACGTCCCCCAAGTCCCCGCGCACTCACCGCGCTCCTGGCGCGCTGCGCGCCGGTGCCCCCGGCGGGCTGTGCCCGCGTAGCCCTGAGGAGGTGGTTACCGCGCCCCACCTCCGCTTCCCCCGAGAGAACACGCGGAGCGGATCGCCTGTCTCCGGAGACCGACTGAGTTGTGTGATGAGTTTGATAAGCACGACAAATCCTGCTGTTGTCTTTCACAGACACAGAGCAGTGGCATTTGGTTGACACTCATTGGGAACTTTCCCCAGAGGTTCTTCCTCTGGGCTCTGGACTGCCCGGCCCTCCCCGCACCCGGTGCCCTGCTCCCCGCAGGGGGCTGCATGCACGACCCCGTGTGGCAAGAAAGTACTAGGACTCTCGTTTGTGTTTGCTATCTGCAAAATGAGAAAGAAATGAGCATTTAATAGGTGGCATGACACCGACCCTAAATGGTCACGTGTTCTGTATGTTCTAAGTGGGGTTCTGAGGGAAGAGGGCAAAGCGCACCAAATGCGGAGGGGGTGACAGCTGTGCCCTTCCTTATGACAATAGTTCATTGAATCTAGGAATTCATCAACTCTAAGACATATCATTTTTTATATACCAGTAAGAAAAAGAACTGTTTCGTAAACGATGATGCAATGCTTTCTTATCACTGAGAATATTTTTGATTAAAATTTTATTTATTGAAATATCCCTTTTAGATTTATTTAGGCATATATATTTATTATCTACCATTCTTGCTCATTCAAATAAGAAAAAGCAAAATATAAGCAAAATAACTTGGTTAAAATATTCTTTAGACACGTTCACATTCAGAGTCCAACACTCCCAATCACTTTTTTGTTTCACCCGATGTCATCCTCAGTGACATGAAGGCAACATTTCTTTAAAGAGTGCCCCACTGTCCTCTCTGGGATGTTCTTCCAGTCCGCTGAAACCAAGCCAGGTTTGCTGAGCATACGTGGAGCCAACGACCTCACTGTACGGTTTGGGCAGTAGGCATGAGACATCTCCCAATTTTAGAGATGTTAAATAGGAAAAATGTACTTTGACAACATACAGTAGACTGCTTTTATGAGACTGGACATATTGTAGTTTACACACTTCAGCAATTTATCCAAGAGAATAATTTGATAAAAATAAATCTTTTAAATTGTAGAGTCTTAACATTACTGTGTAGTGAGATGGTAAATGATTGTGAAAATCATTTGCAACAAAGAGTTATCTTAGTTAAAAGTGAGTTATATTTTACTTTATCTTTTTTACAGAAAAACACAAATATTCTAAATTTACTGAGCGTTTGGTAATGATATATGTCTCTCAGTGGTATGTTGCCTAATAGTTTCAAAAAAATCACAGGCTTCTCTGTCCCTTCTACGTAAAGATAACATTTTAACACTGAATAAGAAAGTGCTATGAAGAGCACATTTGAAAACAAGTATTTCAAAATGTTACCATTATTGTGTGGGGGTTTTTTTTTCCCCACTAAAAATTATGTAAGTCTTTCACCTACCAAAAAAATGCTTAAAAATCTTGGAACCAATTTTCTATCTGGTTTCAATCTTTCAGTTGAGTAGTTCAGTGAGTTTTGAACCCATTTGTTAAAAAATATGAAAATGTGGCTGCTTCTGATTAGTTTGAAAGGACGACTGATCAATATCAGGGATAATAAAATTATGGTAACTAGCTGTTAATAATAAACTTGTATAATTCATAGATTAGCTTATTTTTCAACAATTTTTAGTGAGAAGAAAGGCTTTTATTTTGTTAATAAATTATTCCAAAAATGTATTTTACTCTTTTTCTCATTTTAAAATTTTATTTATATTGTTGTGTACATTTTACAATATATATTGTAAATAAATATTTGCAATATATATTTATGTATATATAAAATTTGTATGTAAATGAAAAAAGCAACTGAACATATATTGGAGGTGTATTCTCAAATCACTTTTTTCTGAAGGAGTACACAATCTAAAATGTTTCAAGACCACTGGTCTGTTAACTTCTAATTACATCATCTTACAAAATTGCTAAGTCAGACACAAGATGGCATTCCACACGCATCCAAGCCATTTTCTTTAGGGAAGCAGATGAGAGGTTTTGGAGAAAGAATCTGATTATTAAGCAAGAACAATGAATTATGAGAATACAATAAGATGCAGGCAACAATGATAGTCTTCTTTCTTCTCTTCTTTTCCCTAGATGCAAATACATCAGAAGATGACCAATCTTACATAAATATTATTAGAGAAATTATCATCTTCTAAGTCCATCGATGTATCATTCAGTTTAGGGTTAAACACTGAGGGAGGGTTTGTGCTAATAGTTACTGGTAACAGTGGTTCTCTCATCCTTCCTGCATCTTCCCTGTGTTATAAGCTCCATGAGTGCAAAGACTGCACCTGTCTTGTTTGCTCCCTTATCTCCGGCACCTGGCACCGTGAGGGGCACAGGTGCTCAACAAATATTTGTTGAGTTGAATTGACTTGTTCTGGAGAGATCTCCCTCTTTGGTGAACCAAAGTTATAGGTGGTGTTGAATCTTGAAAACTTTCAGCAAAGGTGAAATAAAAAAAAGTAGTTGGAAAATTATATATAGTTTTTCTCAGCAAGTCAGTGACCCTTCTGTATGGACTCTAACTATCAGTAGAGGCCTTTCTATTTTCTTTCTTCCTTTCTCTTTCTTCTCCTCCTCCTTCTCCTTTTAATATCTGGGGAGTTTCCCTAGTAGATGCATGGCTGTTGCCAGTGGTTGCCTGTCTAGCTACAGAAAAAAAAAGTCTTGCTTCTGTGTTTTCTGAGAGCAAGCCCTAAATAATGGAGAATGCCTGATGAGGCAAGAACCTAACATACAAGCCAAAACATCAACCTCTGATTGTTAGGATGCTTATTTTGAAGTCTCTGGGTGTGAGGTGGCCTCTGCGTAGCTCTAGATGAATCAAAAGCTCAGTTAGGTGAATAACCGCAGTGACAGTGACAAAGACTTTTCTAGGAAATACTAGTTCAGTTTCCATTTCTGGTACTTTTCCATTCCTTTAAATGTCTATTTTTGTTCACTGTTGATACCAAAAGTCCTGAAAATACCTACTCACACTGTGCTGTGAACCACCGGCTGTCGTTTGTCAGAATAAATATGAAGAGGTGGGTGCCAACGCTGTGATTTAGTGCCTCAGACAAATGTTGGCACCAGATAAGCTTCGTAAGAAGGTTTTGACATACATTTTAACCTTTTACTTTAATAAAGAGATCAGAATGTAAGATTAATTATTCATCCTTGCTGCTTCACTTTGCAGAAGTTTCATTTCTAAAAGTGTTCACTTAATTATTCATTCTACTCATCTGTCCAAAGTGTTACACTTCTAGGACACCAACATAGCTCCTAAATATACTTGTAGTGTCATATGTCAAAAGGCTTATGTACAAAACTATAGTGCAAGATTCTTAGATTATCAGTAATCCCCAAAGATTCTTAAAGTGCAGAGTTGTAACTTTTCCACAGCTGACTTTCGGCAAGCATCGATGTTGTTTATAGATAAACAGACCGCATGGAAAATGCCATGTCTTGGATAGGAGGAATGCACTTTCAAGAGGTTTTTGGGTTGCCAGAGGCCTTTTTAAATGAAAATAAAGGTTAAAGAGTAAAATGAGACATGGGCAAATTTAAAACACTGTCAGCAAATCCCACACAATGTAAACGGAGTTCACATTCTGGCTCTGCTGTTCTCAACAGCTGAATCTAAGAGACATATGAGTTACAGATTCACAGATTCCATAGTATAAGGGCTTGTAGCTTGGTCATCAGAGGCAGAATTTTGATGGCTCAAGAGAAAGTGTTTTTATAAGTGGATTCTTATAAAGAAGAGAGTGACTCACATAATAGACAAATTTCTTACAAACATTCCTACACAAAATCACACATATGTTCCTTATTTGTTTATTTATTTATTTTGTTGTAGAGTTCCTCAATGAGCCTAATGAAGAGCACTCTGGAACATGGATACTTGGTGAGCATTAACATTCTTTTCTATATTTCAGTCCTTTAGGCTCCAAATATCCCTTTGCTCCATGATTCCCATACATAGAAAATACTCTCTGATTTCCCGAGTGTGACACCCCAAATCCTGTCCCGTCACTGCACCCAGCTCAGAGCCAAGCTCTCTGGGTGTTCAGCAGCGGCAGCTCCCTAGTGGGGTATGACTCCTCTGGTCCACTGTCTATAATCCCCAAATGCACATTACCTGCGCCTCCCTCCCCCCGCCCCCCACGATGTAAAGTGGTGAAACGGGAACAATGAATGCTCCCCTTTGGAAAGGAGAAGAAAGTGAGGCACCAGCAGTCACTGGTCGGAAGCACTGCTGTCTGCTGGGTGATGTCTTAGAGCTTTTGATTTTGACCTATAGGACCTCTGCTAAAACTGGGACAGGAAGAATCTCAATTAAGTATCCTTTTCTACAAGTCAAACACAACAGAGTAATATCAAATTTTAATAATTTGTCTTCTCCTCTCCAATCTCTCCCCAGAAAGTAATAATTTTTTGGGAATCTTTCCACATTTTTCTTCTTGCCTTTATAGATATATAATAACATGATAGGCTTTTTTTCTACATTTAAACAAAAATGGAGCCATCTGTCTATGCATCCATCTATCTATCTTTCGTGTTTCTTTACCACACGGTATAAACTTCATTCCATAACATACATAATGGATCTAACTCATTCTCTAAACAACTACAAGTATTCCATCCTATGTATGTACTAAGATTTAGTCAATCATTGTCTTATTTACAGGTCTTCAGGTTTTTTCCAATTTTCGTGCAAAGTACAAAATACTAACCAAAATAAAAATATTCTTACCCATATACATTGTACAAATAGATGATGCTTTTATTTGTGTGTAGTAAAATCTTCCATGTGGCTTGTTGAATCAAAGGGTATGAGCTTTTTCACTTTAATGGATTATGCCAGATTATTATTATTATTATTATTA